GGAAAACCAGCTTTTTGAAGTGAGACAGATTGTATGAGTATGGAAACACAGAAGAAGGCAGAGCATTCCACAGTTTGGCTGTGTGAGGAAAAAAGAATGTACTATAAAGGGTTATTCTAGTGTGACCAACAGCCACAGAGAAACTGTGGGCACCGCGGGCATGACGAGTGTTACGAGCCCACAACCTTGCCGGCGGTACACAGGATGCCAATTCCACCGAACATCGCCCGTTAAAGTACCTGTGAAAGGAGATAGTGAAGCAACATTGCGGCGAAGAAAAAGGTAAGAAAGATTATCAACTTTAAAAACTAAAGAAGGAGAGTTAATAAGATGAAGGGCTTTGATTCCACCCTATCTAACAGTTGGACAGAAGAAGAGCCACCCCAGATATGAAAGCAGTACTCCAAGTCAAGACGAATGAATCCCTTAGAACAGTGGTTCTCAACCTTGTTTGCCCCATGCACCCCTTTCACCATATGTCAGAATGTCATTCCCCCTCCTTACCAAGATTGTCTGCCTCAAAAAGTGCATTCCAAATAATATGCATATAATACTGAAAATCCTTTATTTTTCCATATTAGTATCAGTTTCCCCCCTGAAAACCTGAGGGGGGAAATTCCCCCCCTGGTTGAGAACCCCTGCCTTAGAAACTTGAAGCAACTGTTCAGGAGTGAAGTAACCAAAGCATCTGTACAGCATTCGGGAGGCAGCTTTAGCAATGTTGTGGATGTGTGGCTTCCATGACATATTAGAGAACATGGTGAGGCCTAGTATATCTATTATAGAATTTGGTAACACTCTAATGTGTATTTACCAACACCATGTTACATGTAGTAATCCAGTTGAAACTAAATGTTATTTAATAATTCTTTGAGATAAATGTACAGTATACTGTATAACAGGTGCCACTACTAGGGCTCAAGCTTTCACTTGGGTTCGACATGTCTGTGTTGTTATTCTTTGCCTTGTATCTATAATCTTCTGGCTGAAAAAAATGTAATTGTATTGTTATCAATGAATGTTTTTGTGTATAACTTCAGTGTGCTACATCTCACGGTGTTTAATATTGAACAACAGTACCCTTACAGCACAACAGAATAATAATAAAGTTTATGTAAGCATGAGGTCAGTTAGTAAAGCAGCGGCGTAAAGTAATGAGATGAATTGATAATAGTTTTGAGAAGACCAACTCTTTAAGCCCAGTTACTCGGAATCGCTTATTATGTGCACTGTTGCCTCGCTTACTGAAATGTGCTGCGTATACACCATCCAGTTGACTGTGCGTTTATAAATCATTGCTTTGGGTTTGTGTTTCGGGATATTTTTTACCTTCGTACATAAGGTGGTCCAAGAACATTAATCCTGCATTACAGTTGTCAGTCATAAAAATAATGCCTATTAATTATTCGAAACATTAACCTCAACATTAAAATCTTGGTCCCAGTGTATTATAATTTGGGGTGAACTTAATTTACATACGAGGCTGTTTAATATGTGTTTTGGGACGGAACAAACCAAGAAGCAGATGGTGGTGGGAGAAGAGAGGGTGAGGATAACTGATACAAAATATAGAAACAAAATAGTAATCATGAGCGTGGAAGTAGAAATATGTAGGAAGTGGCAAGGATCCTCACACAGAGTCACACAGGGCAATGCCTTAGGCCCTCTCCTGTTTCTAAAGATATTGGGATAAATCAGCAGGAAAGTGACAGAGCAGGAAGTGAGGAAGTAAGTATGTGAATGCAGACGACCCGACAGTTACAAGGAACATTACTGGGAATGGTGTGATGAGGGGAAAAAATAAATTTGAAAGAGATTATTGAGGAAGGATGAAAATGAGATAGCAAGGAGGTGCAGAGGAAGATACAAATAGGAGACGCGAGATACTGGACAGTTGGCAGTTGGTCACAGAGAACAACTGGCTCTGGTAAAATAGAAGGAAAGGAGGCAGTTTGACACGAGAGAAGAAATAATGGTAGCGAATTACCTTATTTTAGAGGAAAACTTGCTCGTATAGGAAGCTGAGGTGGGTAGAACATTTACAAGGAATAGAGGAGGAAAGGCTGGCGAGGAGAACAGGAAGAAAGGTAGACGAAAGAACAAGGCGGATAGACACAGTAAGAGAGACCTGGAAAGTGCAGAGGAAGATAACAGAGGATGGATGATAACAGCAGAGGAGTGGCCCTGATGGACTGGGAGCGTAGAGACCACACACACCAAGAAGAGAAACGAAAGAGGATAATATATATATATATATATATATATATATATATATATATATATATATATATATATATATATATATATATATATATGTACACACACACACACACACACACACAGGCCTACATACATATATAAATACATAAGATAATTAGTTAGAAGTAGTCTGATAAAAAAAAACCTGTAGTTCGTGAAATGGTTAGAGTTACATGCTGTTTTTGCTAAGATTGTTTCTTCGTGTTTCTTAAGAATTACAACCGCACGCCTTCTCTGTTTCAGGATCGATCGTCTTGAAACCTGTGGTGATGGTGCCTTGGTCCGATATACCCAGACAGATTCTTCTTTAATAATTTGCGAGAAATTTAGGTCTACAGGTTGATTTTTGTATAAATAAACTGTGGCTTTGTAGTTCTTTGAGGCCGCAGCCATAATATTACACACTACCAAAAGGGGTTCAAGCCACTATTTCCTAGATCTGTATAATTAGGTTATCTATGTTCTTCAGCTCCGTAAATTTCACAAAAAAACTTATGGTGTACATCTCTTTGCCTCCACTATACTTTAGACCTCGGAGGTAAGACAGGCATTTGATTTCCGTCCATATTACTGAACGCGTCACCTGTTATATATTGTACACCGTTTATTGTTTCGTTGTTGTCATGATGGGAGTTGTTCCATAGTTGGTCAGCTACCAGTTAGACTTCAGTACGAGCCATCAACCCGCCATGCTTCGCCTCTCGACATTCTTATACTGTTTACATAAGAAGTTACATCCTCTCACGAACATTTTCTAACTATTGTTATTATTCCAGAACATTCACGAGTATGTTACATACTTTGTCTATCACTTTTTTCAGTTCACATGAAATGATAAGCTACAGACTATAGCTGTCCACACTGGGTCGTCCACAATTAGGATTTAATGTTTACGAAATTTTCTTAAAGGAAAGTAACCAACTTCCTCCACCCACCACCGACCTTTAAGATCCAGTTTAATGGCCAATACGAACTGCATTCTACTGGCAACGTTTATATTCCGATCTTATAGAAAGTTTCACAGCTAAATATAACCATTCTCCCAGGACTACCTTACTCTAGTGACTACCTTACTCTAGTGACCACCTTATCATTCCCTAACCAACTCCCAACAATGGTCAACTTATTACATCAACCACCTGACGTCACTGACCACCATACTTCAGTAGCCACGTCTTTTTAGTGACCACCTTGTTGTAACAACCACTTCACTGCAGTTATTACCTTACCTCAGCTACACCCTTATTACAGCGGCAGTCTCACTCCAGTGGCTGGGTTACTATAGTAACCATCGTCCTCCAACCTTAGTCTAACCTCAACTGATATTTTACCAGGAATCGTTCAACGGTAGACGTTTTAATTTTTACTATGCCTGTCTGTCTCTCTATTTACAATTAAGAACCGATCGTTAAACCTGCTCGGGCTCAGCACCAGCGAAAATCTGGCAGACATTGGACTAAATCGGACAAAGATGGATATTTTATTTGTCTCATGGCACTTTAGTCTCCATAATTATAAACCAATCCTTATGATATTCTCACGGCTGATCACGCCAGTTGACCAAAGATTAACGTCATTAAGAACCTAGACTACTGCAAGAATTGTATCTCTCTGTGTGTGGAATTGGTTTGTTGTTACTCTAGCATCCATAATGAGAAAAAAAAGTCGATCCTTACAAAACTTTCACAGCTGATCAGACTATATGCTACGTAGACAATCGGGGACACACACACTCACAATATATATATATATATATATATATATATATATATATATATATATATATATATATATATATATATATATATATATATATATATATATTGATTAAAATCTGACAAAGGTCGAGGTCAAATTCAGTGAGTCAAGAATGCTTCAAGTATCACTGTACAGTATGAGCGACAACTTGTTTACATTACATCTCGTCCGTAAATCGCCTTATTGTTATTTTTTTTAATTTCTTTTACATTTTCTTTGGTCATTCACATAAATTACCAGTTACGACGATGAAGGAACACCATGATTGTGCTATAAATTTTTCTTACTACTATACTACCAAATTTTCACCTCTTAAGCTCCCGTTCAATAATTTAAGTCAAAGGCCAAACAGGTAATACATTTCCATAGTTTTCTCATATTTCAATTAATAATATTAAATCTGACCAAGTCAACACCTTGCCATAAACCCATTTCACCAAAGAGCACGATATAAAACTAATATATACTTGGTCAATATAAAAGGTTAAAGACTGCAGCAAAATTAACTTTACATTTCCCTCCAATAATTTTTTTCATATTGTGGTCAGTCTGCTTCACTATATTTAGGTGCTTCAAGTACTAAGTTTTTATACAGGACTGAGGTTAAAAAAAAAAAAAACACACACACACACACACACACACACACACACACACACACACACACACACACACACACAGTTTTAGATACTTGTGTTGTTGTGTTATGTTGCTGATGTATTAACGGCCACATATCATGAACGGGGATGGAGAGGCCACGTTGTTCTTGGCCACTTATGTTCTGACATTATAACAGCTTGAATTAATGACCTGGACACTAAAAGAAATATTATACATTAAGAAGCTCAAATGTGTTATAATTAATCATTGACAAAAATATAGAAGAAAAAGAAAATACAGTACTGTGTTATTGGTCTTGATATCATGCATTTTGATATCTATCTATCTATCTATCTATCTATTTATTTATATCTATCTCCACTCACCTTTTTCTATAAGTTCGTTGAAGCTTGCAACGACCAGCCCTTTGCGAACCTGCCGCCCGCTGTCCCATACCTTATATGGGCGCTTCCCCTTTCCCTGTCGAGGACAACATCGTGTTAGTCTCTGCAGCACACCAGGAAAAGATTAGTAAAAGGGCAAGACAACACCACCAGGTCAGGCAAAGTTAAGAAATGAGAGACGTTCAAACAAATCATCATGACAACAACAAAGAGTTAAGACAGCTCAGGGTACCAGCAGCAGCTCAGGGGAAAACACTGGACGAAGTTTGACGTTAGGGAAAGATGCGGACAACAAGAGATAGTCAGTTTGCTATACGACTACACCACGGCAACGTTGAAGTACCCGACAAGGAGCACAGGCATGTGAAACTGATACGAAGACCACTACTTTAGGTCCAAGACATTGAATTACAAGGAGACAAGGCCTTCAAAACCACACTGATTTCGAATTCCAAGTGGTGAAAGGTGCACGGGTAGGGGGTAGGAATATGGTAGGGTGTGTTTGTTTGCAGCTGCAAAAGGAACTCTTATGTTATGCTCTGCTTAGCCTACAGAATAGTAAACTTCTCTTATGCACAGTCAACGAATAAAGTTCGCCGATAAGCTACACACATACAGCGCCATCTTGGTGTGGCATTTGTGCACCAGCCGTCATATTTACATCCTTTGGACCTACTTGGGGAAATTAATTATTGTGAGGTAAGACTGCTCTCTCTCTCTCTCTCTCTCTTCAGTTGCCTCTGAAGATGTCTTGAATAAAGACGAAAGCTAAGGTGCTCCGTTGTTTCCCTTTTCCCGTATGATTTTATCAAGATATACATATATATATATATATATATATATATATATATATATATATATATATATATATATATATATATATATATATATATATATATATATATATTAATGAGTTCGGTAACAGTCTTACTGCTGAGAAGTATCTTAATCAAGAACAGGTAATCTGAGGTCGATATCAACATGATTTATTCAATACGTTTGGGAGTAAATTAGCTCCATCTTCATTTACTAACCGCTAATGTGTTGTTTCTCCTTTTAGTAAATGAAGATGGAGCTAATTTACTCCCAAACGTATTGAATAAATCATGTTGACCTCTCTCTCATATCACTCTACTCTCTCTCTCTCTATAAATTATTATTATTAATATATATATATATATATATATATATATATATATATATATATATATATATATATATATATATATATATATATATATATATATATATATATATATATATATAGTTTTCTCTTGTATAAAATTAATATTAGTTTCACTCTATCGTATTCTATAAAATTCACAAAGTTCTCTAATCTCACCTGATTACCAACTATATATTATATTCTTATCGTATATGGACCATTATCTAATAGTATTCCTCTCCTTTATCATTAAACTACTACCTATTTCACATACCTTCCTTCCTCTCATTTTCTCTACATCAGCTGTCCTGCGCACCACCTTCCCTCCCTGGTACCCCCTCCCGCTTCACCACAATTTCCCTCACCTCCCTCCCTATTCTTCAAAACACATGTACAGTAAATATAGCTCTGACAATATTATAGATATTCTATGCCTATAATATCCAAATTAGCGATGTTTTTTACTCCTCTCCACAAATAATAATAGGCAGAGTGACGAGCCAATGAATCCCACCACGTCATAGCTTAAGAGAGGCCGAAATATTGGGATGTGAGAGGGCGGCAAAACATCCCACTGTTCAATATAAATTATCGGTTTGTCCTCCGTACTAGGTAGAGGAGGAAGGAACGCCAGCTACATTATGTGTAGAAATTATAACGGGAGACTATTGCCGACTGCTAGAGGTCTGCCAGCAAACTTTATTCGTTGGCTGTACAATAATATTCCTTGGTATAAGAGATGGTAGTGAGGCAGGACAAAAGGGATGGGGGCACAAGTACAAGAGGTGGGTGGTAGTAGAAAATGGCAAGGTAAGAGTAGTGGTAGTAGTCTTAGTAAGTGGGAGAACACGAGAGGTATTAATAGTAGTAGTAGTAGTACAAGAGGCATGGTAGTAATAGTCGTGTAATAAGTGGCAGAACAAGACGGGTAGTGGTAGTATTGGAAGAAAAAAAGAGCGAAAAGGCAGGAAATAAACAAAAAAAGAGAACCAGGTCAAGGATGGGACACAAGGGGGGGGGGGCACCACGTCGTCTTTCATGGGACAATGCCCTAGAAGTATTAACATCGAGGACAATATTTTAGCATCAGGAAAACAACAAAACCATAGCTACAGATGTTGTTCTTCCGACCAAGACACGAGACAGCATGAAAGATATCAGATGGAAAGTTCACCACGCAGAGAGAGAGAGAGAGAGAGAGAGAGAGAGAGACTGGACACTAATTCACCCTCCCCCTAAAAAAAAAATCATACCAGCAATATAAAAACAAAACAAAAACTACAATACATAAAACAAAAATACTGTATAAACTTTTTAATAAGGAAGGTCAAAACAAAAAATATAAACCTGTGAAAGACTACTGAAGAAACAATGGGCAGGTCCCTGGTGGAGAGGGGGGGGGGTAGGGGGTTACGGTCAGGGATCACACAATTAACACCTTTGAGGCTGAGAGGCTATATACATTATCACACGAAGACCTGAACGTCGGCGGAAGTGACCAGAACCCTCTTGACTTTTACAACATAATCACAAGGTCTGAAAACAACGAGACGATCACTTAACAACAATCATTATACGAAGTCGTCCGGTTTGCGAGAAAAAAAAGTCTACGAATCGCAGTTTGAGAGTGAGTTTTTGCCTGTGTTTAGTCAGAGTTGTCGGGTGAACGAATTATTTTGTCGGATGAACGAATTAATTTGTCGGGTGAACGAATTATTTTATCGGTGTGAACGAATTATTTTATAGGGTGAATGAAATATTTTTGTCGGGTGAACGAATTATCTTTGTCGGGTGAACGAATTATTTCTGTCGAGTAAACGAATTATCTCTGTCGGGTGAACCAATTAGTTTTGTAAAGTTTTTTTTTTGTCATGTGAACGAATTGTGTTTGTCGGGTGAACGAATTGTCTTTGTAGGGTGAACGAATTAGTTTTGTCGGGTGAACGAACAAATTAGTTTTGTCGGGTGAACGAATTAGTTCTGTCGAGTGAACGAATTAGTTTTGTCGGGTGAACGAATTAGTTTTGTCGGGTGAACGAATTAGTTTTGTCGGGTGAACGAATTAGTTTTGTCGGGTGAACGAATACTTAGTTTTGTCGGGTGAACGAAATAGTTTTGTCGGGTGAACGAATTAGTTTTGTCGGGTGAACGAATTAGTTTTGTCGGGTGAACGAACAAATTAGTTTTATCGAGTGAACGAATTAGTTTTGTCGGGTGAACGAATACTTAGTTTTGTCGGGTGAACGAAATAGTTTTGTCGGGCGAACAAATATAAGGTTTGTCGGTGTGAACGAATTAGTTTTGTCAGGTGAACTGTGTGATGTTTCGGATTCACAGGTTCATTAGTCTGAGGCTGGTTCATGGCTGGCCCACACGACCCCTACAGTCATAACACGTACACAACCACGCTTCAGTACCTATGCGAATGGAAACTACGCCCCTTCGTCCCTTATCATGCGTAGACTATACTTCCATCTCCAGTACGCGAGTAAACTAAGCCCAGGTCTTAATATAAGTACAAACCACGCTCCCTTCCCGAATGCACAAGTCAACCACGAACTCGCCTCCATTGCAAGTGCAAACCACGTTCTTGCCTCTTAAATCACGTGCAAATGACACTCTCCTTGTCTCTAACTCAAGTGTAAACCACGCAGCGTCCCCCAAAAAGTATAAACCACGCACGCAGCCACCAAAAGTGTAAACCACGCCCTAATCCCCTAAAGTGTAAGCCACGCCCACATTCCCATAACGTATAAACAACGCCAGCATCCCCCGAAAGTGTAAACCGTGCTTTAACCCCCAGAGTAATTGTAAACTACGCCCCCGTTCCTAACAACGTCCCGTTTTTCTTAGAAGGTAAAACTAAGTACCCTTACTTTATGGAATTCTAAGAAACATATTTCTTTTCATTCTCTAATATATATAAAACACTCCCCTCCGCAACCAGGTGTTAAAACCACTTACGACAAAAATCTAAACCACGCCCCCGTCAACTATTAAAAACCAAACCACACCCCAGTCAACTATTAAAAACCGAACCCACGCCCTCGTCAGTTATTATACACCAAAACCACGTCCGTTTCATTTTTCAAAAACTAAAACCACGCCCCTCTCGACTATTAAAAACCAAACCCACGCCCTCGTCAGTTATTAAAAACCAAAACCACGCCCGCCCCCCTCTCAATTATTAAAAATCAAAACCACACCCCACGTCAATCACAAAAAAACAAATATCATGTACCCCTCTAATAGAAGTTAAATCCTTGCACTGTCTATTAACCCAAGTCTATGCTACCGTTAATTTTATCTGAAGCCAAAACTACATCACCCGTTATTAATAAAAGACAAAATCAAACTCAATTCTACCAGTAGAAGCCAAAACCAAAGCTCCGATTCACTAATATAAGCCAAAACCACTTATCAACTCAAAAGTAGAAACCGAAACACTAATCAACTCAAAAGTAGAAGCCAAAACTACTTATCAACTAAAAAATAGAAGCCCAAGCCATTTCTTAATTTCCTAGAAGTCAAACCACACCCAATTCACTTTTTGAAGCCAAACACATATCTGCATTCACTAATAGAAGCCAAAATCAAACCATAATTCTGAAATAGAAGTCAAAACTAGGTCCAAAATCAATGTTAGAAGCCAAAAACAAGCCCCAATTCACTAGTAGAAGCCAAAACCACCTATCAACTCAAAAGTAGTAGCCAAAATCACTGCTTATTTCTCTAGTAGAAGTTAAAACCACGCCCAATTCACTTTCTGAAGCCATAAACACGTTTTCGTTCACTAATAGATGCCAAAACAAGCCCCAATTTACAAGAAGAAGCCAAAACAAAGTCCAAATTCACTATTAGATGTCAAAACCACGACTCAATGCACTAGAAGTCAAAACCAAAGCCCTGAT